TCTACTTTAAGTGGAGTTGCCTTCCCATCACCTGTAAACAAAGAGAGAGGAATTTTGTCCATGCTTAGAAGACATTTGTTTGGAACTTTTTCCTGCAACATTTCCTTATCCTGGCTTTCCCTTCTGCCACCTGGATGTCTCAGCTATACCCATTTAATTCTATCTCATGATTTTATTTACTCTCAACTTCTGTCCAAGGTGGCATATACTCTAAAGGATGGATGTCAAAATTCAGTGCAAAGACAGATTCTGCTCCTGGACATGAGGAACTATGCATAAATCTAGGAAACATAGCTCTTCTTCATAATTAATTCCCTTTTTCGTAGCTGTGTCTGTTTGAAACAGACTGGGTGGGGGTCGGGGTGGAGGAGAAACAACTGAAGACAACTCTGGGTAACTGGAATTTTTATTTAGATTCCCCCTTCTACTCTCTTTTCTGATCAACTGTTAAAAGTCAGCATGTAACTTATAGTACTTGTAACTCTGATTCCCAAACATTAGTCTGTTAGGTGTTTTGGATTTCAACTCCCAAAAGCTGTTCTGGGCACCACAATTCCAATTTTGGGCACCACAATTCAAAAAGACTGTTGACAAGCTGGAGTGTGTCCAGAGCAGGATAACCAAAATGGTGAAGGTTCTGGAAACCATGCCTTATGAGGAGAGACTTTAGGGAGCTAGGTATGTTTAGCCTGGAGAAGAGACGGTTAAGAGGTGATATGATAGCCCTGTAAGTATTTGAAGGGGTGTCGTATTAAGGACAGAACAAGCTTGTTTTCTGCTGCTCCAGAGAATAGGATCTGGAACAATGGATTCAAACTATAGAAAAAGAAATTCCACCTAAACATTAGGGAGAACTTCTTGACAGTACAAGCTGTTCGACAGTAAAACACATTGTCTCAGAGAGTGGTGGAGTCTCCTTCTTTGGAGGATTTTAAACAGAGGCTTGATAGCCATTGTCAGGGGTGTTTTGATTGTGTATTCCTGCATGGCAAGGGGTTAGATTTGATTTCCGTCGTGGTCTCTTCCAACTCTATGATTCTATGAAGCCCCGGTCACCATGGCCAAAACCCCAAAATCCTGACAGTTAAAGTCCAAAACACCTGGAGGATTAAAGTTTGGGAACCACTACTACTTATAAGCATTATAGTACTTATAGTACCTATAATACCTGTTTCTGCTTTTCTTTCTTCCTACTTTTCTCTCTCCTATCAAATTCAAAAAATGACAGTTAATAATGTCAGTTTATCAATATGAGCAGCCCTTACCAAATGGCTGGACATTTCCACTATCCTCCTGTAGGACTTGCCAGAACATGGTCTGTTGGCCTGGCTGGGTCAGAGTCTGCTCAACCATGTGCAAAGATACACCTGTCTCCTTAAGGTTCACCAGTCCCTGGAAACATAAGACATGTCCATCACCACAATAGTCAGATCCTCATGCATAAAGAATAGCATTTAACACAGAGTGACCTGCATTTCCTTTTACTGCAAAGAAAGCAAGTATTGTAGACTGAATGGAACAATTCAGTAAATTTTCAGCTTTCAAGCCACTTTTAAGAACACAAACTAACAGTGAGGAAAGCTCACCCTATCAACACTTTGCTCTAGAACACACAACAGGATTAACAGGGCCACTCCCACAAGGCTGAGTGAGACAACTGTTTTAGCAGCCCATTTTGGCGTCATGAAAAGCAGCAAAATATTTAATTAATTAATTAATTAATTAATTAATTTTAAGAGCCAGAGATATAGAGAAGTGCTTGTGGAGTTTTCTGTCGCATGAGCCAAATTAAGTTGGTTGATTTTGGGAAGTAGTTTCCTGACTTGCATAAAATTGGTGGCACCTCAATTTGCTGCAGCAACTCCATCTTGGGCTGGCACTGCTAATTAATATAAACCCAGGAGAGATTTATAAATAGGCACTTTCCCTGATTGCCTGGATTAAGAAAATATGCCCTATTTCCTAACCTAACCCCCCCCCCCACCAGCAG